TAATTACAATGTTTCGCCACCGGAGCTGGAACCCATTATGACCTACAAATACCAATTTTAAGACAAATCCGTGAAAAAATGTGGTAAAAAAAACTAAAATACTAAATATCGGGAGGTACCTTTATATGGGGGCTATACCACAACGTGGACCTATACATGCAATGTTTTGCCACACGCTCAGGGACCCGCTATGACATACAAATACCAATTTTAAGACAAATCCGTGAAAAAATTTGGCATAAATCATCAAAATACCGAATATCGGGAGGTACCGTTATATGGGCACTATACCAGAACGTGGACCGATATATCTCATTTTCAATACCAACCATCCTAGACACAATGCAAATAGCTCTGCTAAATTTTGGAGCTCTACGTCAAATAATGTGGGCTGTATCGTGATTTCAACAGACAGACAGACAGACGGACATCGTTAAATCGACTTAGAATTTTATGCTGATTATGAATATATATACTTTATGGGGTCTAAAACGAATATTTAGGGATGTTACAAACGGAATGACAAATTTAATATACCCTCCTTTCCAAGGTGGAGGGTATAATAACTACGCAAAAAGGTTCAAAATGGTACTCTCATGATGGTGCCTATAACATTTGTTATAGTCGAACTAAACTTCGTTGTTAATTGCTACTTCAGACCCCGCTTCCTGTTTGACTGTAACGCTTTAAAGTCCCGGTTTGTTTGTTTTTGTACCCTTCACCATAGTATGGAGGGCATATTAAGTTTGTCATTCCGTTTGTAACACCTCGAAATATACATTTTAGACCACTCAAAGTATATATATTCTCGATTTAGCTGTGTCCGCCAGTCTGTCCGTCTTTGAAAATCACTCTAACTTCCGAACGAAAAGAAGTAGGTTGATAAAATTGTACTCAAATGTATTAACTTTTGGTACTGAAAATGGGCCATGTAGGTCCTCGTATTCGTATAGCCTCCATATACCTCCCTTGTTTCGGTGTTTTGATGATTTTAGCGACATTATTAACCGGAATTGTTTCAAATTTGGTATTTGAAGTTCAAAATTGACAGCCTAGGACAGAAAATTGTCTGTGCAGGTCCACGTCTTTGTATAGACCCCATATAACGGTACCTCCCGATATTCGGTATTTTGATGATTTTAGCGACATTATTCACCGGAATTTTTTCAAAATTTGTATTTGAAGTTCGAAATAGATACTACAGCCTAAGATAGAAAATTGTCTGTGCAGGTTCACGTCTTCGTATAGGCCCCATAAATCAGTATCTCCCTATATTCGGTTTTTTGACGTGTTTAGGTAGAACACCCACCGAAATTGTTTGAGATGCCGTATTTGAAGTTCGTAATGGATGCTACAGCCTGTGACAGAAAATTGTCTATGCATGTACAGGTCTTTGAATAGCTCCGATATAACGGTACCTTCCTATATGTGGTATTTTAATGATCTTAGCTACATTATTCACCGTTTATTCCAAGTTTCGAATTTGAATATGGTAATGGCTTATGTCAAACAAAGTCTTTGTAGGTCCATGTCGTATAGACCGAAACGGCTATATTCGGTATTTTTAAGATTTTAAAAGAATTTTTAACGGATTTTATCTTTTGAAAATTTACAAATTCGTTCCAAGAGGTGGAGGGTATTCAAAGTTCGGCCCAGCCGAACTTACTGCTTTTTATCTTGTTTAAACTAGAATTAAAAAATACGAAATGTGGTTAAATTGGTAAAGTAGAATTCTGTGGAGTATTGCCTAGTATTGAGCTAAAAATGTACAAAGAGAATCAAAATGTACTAAATTTGATAACCCGGTAAGTTTGATAAGCCTCAATGTCATCAAGTTACACAAAACTATGCAATATAACCTCACAAGCTTCAAGTTATGTCCCTTTCCGTTTCTTATTTGTTCGGTTAGTACGATAGTTGCTAAAATACCTTCCACAGTTTCCAATTGCATAGCATTACCATTAACTATTCTGGTATTCATATCTGTGAAAAGGACATTTACCCCAGTCACACATAGACACAAGAAATGCTGGATAGTCATCTGCGGATATCCCGCCAGCCGGTTGAACCGTCAGCCACCCAGGTAGCCAGCAAACCAATAATGTTAACATTCAAATCGCATTGGGATATTTGTAGTCATTGATAGGATTGAATTTGTATTGCCACTGCTGGAGGAACACATCTTGCATTGCATTTCAACTGAAACAGACAGAGTTTATCAGACGAGGATAAGTGGAAGGGAGAGCAAGTTCAATACATCATTGTCCGGAATAATGAATGTTTAATTACGCATAGAGGGTGTTCGGAGCATCGTTTAATGGCTGCATCGATTTAATTGATTTCGTAAAATGACACTAAAATTGTTACACGGCAGCATTGGTAATGAATGAATGAATTGGTTTAATGCAATTATACATGAGTGTTTTTTTTTTTTGAATTGGGATCGGATCGGAGCAGATTGTGAAGTATGTCGCACTATTTTAGGAATTGAATAGTAAAAGATGAAAATAAATTCAAAATCTCAAATAAGTGTATTTGTTTTGTAAAATGTGTTATTGTGCCTAATAATCTGGTTCTGGATTTAGCTCCAAGTGTAAAAATTAGGTACTTCTTTGGGGTAATGGAATATAAGCTGCGCTGAGTGGGCGCCTGCACCACATGCTCGACAGATAAGATAGGTGGGCTGGTATAGTGCTCCAAGAATATTTGCTTCTGGAGAAAAACTTATAGTGGTCCGTTCTCAATTTAGTCTCAAAGGAGGTTCATGACATTTGCTGAAAATCGGTTCAGATATAGCTAAACCACCCAACACCTTTTACACTATTTGACATTTAACCCCACAATGCAGTAGTATGTACTATGTAATAATGGTACAATATATTAAATACAGCCTTTAAATACTTTTGTCAATTACTTTCAAAATAGGTTAAGTTTTAGATATGACCCCCATATACAGGGTGAGATGAAAAAATTGGAATCAACTTCAGACTGCTGTTATTTCTAAGCCACTTGTCCGACAGCTTTTAAAATATTCCAGTGACAGCTCATTATATTGTTTACAAGCTTACAAAAGCATGTTGGTGAGAATTTTCCGGAAAAAAGTTATTCGTGATGGAATTCAAGCGTGATTTCTTTATATTTGACTGGAAAACCACAAGTGGCTATCGTTAGAGCACTCCAGCATTTAAATGTGAAAAAATCTTTTGTGTCTCCTACCATCTTATGTGTCTCGTTACCTTGATACTGGTAGCGTAGCCCGCCGCCAAGGAAGTGGACGGAAGAAAACAGAAACATCAGCAGAAATGGTTCGAAAAGCATAGAAGCGACTTGATCGAAACCCGCGACTCAGTGGCCGAAAAATGGCTCGTGAGCTGAACATATTGCAATATACCATTCGGCAAATATTGAAAAATGAGCTTGAGGTAAAGCCATTGAAACTCCAAAAAGTGCAAGAACTCACACCGCAACAGAAAGAAAATAGATTCAAAAGAGCTAAAAAGTTGCTTCGCTTAGCCGAAAGTGGTGAACTACCGAATTTGATTTTCTCCGATGAGAAAAAATTCGTTGTCCAGCAGTTTGTAAACAAACAAACTGATCGTGTTTACATACCAAAGAGGTCAGCTGAAAATGTGCACCTTCGGATGGCCAGCAGAACTCAAGCGCCGGCCATCGTGACGGTGTGGGCCACCATAACAGCCGACGATTGCTTTCCGCTCGCATTAATCGGCCGTGGCATCAGAATAAATGGCGAATATTATCGCGAAAATATTCTGAAGGCTCGTAAACATTTTGGCCGCAGACCTTGGACATTCCAACAGGACTCAGCACCATCGCAGTCAGCACGCGCCACCTAAGAATGGTTACAAAATGAGGTTCATCGCTTCATTTCCAGTGCACAATGGCCACCGAAATCTCCGGATACCAATCCGTTGGACTATTGTGTCTAGAGTATTTTGGAAAGCAAAGTTGGCACTAAATAATACCAAAGTGTAGTTTACCTCAAGCAAGCGCTTCGCCGGGAATGGGCCAAAAACACCCCAGAGCAACATTCGGGCAGCGTGTGACGGTTTCATTGGCTGTTTGAAGGTCATAATTCGAACCAAAGGTGGCAAATTCGAACAAATCTAAACTTATTCTTAAATTTGATGTTATTTCCGACATTTTTTGCTTTCATTCAATTACAGTAAAAAATGTAAAAGATATGGCGTTTGACTTTGTTGCAGTTTTTTATCTTAGCCTGTAATGGTCAGAAGTGACCTTTTAATGCGTTTGTGCTGTTTAAAATATTCGCGGTTTATGGTAATTATTAGCCGCTAAAGATTGTCCGATGACCATCCGAATTGGTAGGCTTCTGCCCAGCACTAAACTATTGTGGCCTGTGGAGCCACATAAATATTTTGCTATCATATCCAAAAACAATAGGCTTTTATTCTGACCCTAACCCTAACCCCATCTCCATTTTAAATTTCGTAAGGATCGAGCCATAATTGTGACCTGTAGCTTGATTGCAAATTAATATAGACAGACGGACAGATGGATATACATAGTTGATCGACTCAGCTCGGCGTGGGGGACCAATATTTCGAGGTGTTATATAAATTTCGGCCCAATCAAACTTATAATACCGCCAACACATAGTGTTGCAGGGTATAAAAACTGGAAGTCTTTGCGAGAACCTAAGATTCTAGATATCAGCCCATGCCGCAGAAAACAACAAAGACCTACTATTTTTTGGCCCAGATTTCTGATGCTTTAGAAGACTTGGATAGATTTTTTAAGCTGGGATTGTCCTGATGGTTCGCATTAAGTCTAGTGATTTAAAAAGACCCATGAAACATGTTGTTATATTGGTTTGGCCTGTAATTTAGAATTTTGATTTCCGCAGATTAAACTGCAACAAACGCGAGTACGTTTCTGGCTGAGGGTCAATAGGGCTGTATTTAATTCTCTCAAGATCTTTAAATATCCATTAAGAAAGGGGTATATTCTAAAGAACTTACCTGTTTATCTATTAAAGTTTATTCTGTCTTCATAAATTCAACCGATCAATTTTATGAATCTGAAAAATAAAAAGCAAAAGTTACAAATTACTGGCATACTTTTAAAATCTTTTTCTAAGAGTCATTTAAATGAAAATAAAGCTTAAATTTACAAATTCATTTCTCACAGGAACCCTGCATTGCCCTCTTATCAAATAATTTAATTTTCAATTATCGGATGACCATCTTGCACTAATTGCGTATCTAACACAAATCTCTCTTCATTTTCTCAACTTAAGTGTCAACAAAACACATTCGTAAACTAGTTGCCAATTGTTGCTGTCATGCCTACGGAGAAAGTACAATGATAATCTGCTGTAATTGAAACTGTCAATACAATACAAAATTTGAAATATAATAAAAATTTGAAATCGAAAACTATTCTCCTCAAATTTCAATTAAATTGTTTTTATTGTCTTGCAACTAATTTAGTTTTGTACATTCACCTGCTGGCAATGCCTTCCACCCAACTCACAATTGAATGAAAACCTTAGTGTTAGTTACTTTTCATTTAGTTAGCTTATTGTTGTCTCTGCTGCCACTTGTTGACTTGTATTATGACTTTAGGGAACCCATGACAGCACTGCAACAAGCCACCATTCAACAATGCAGCCATAATAGGAATTCTCAGGCGGCTAATATACCACAGAAAAGTTGTAAGAAAAGAGTGTGCTAAGGTTGGCCAGTTAAAACAACTATTTTGACATCAAAAAACTAAAGCAACAACAATGTCGAGAAATTGTTGGGAGAAAATTTGCTAAGTTTTCTTCTTAATCTGCAAAAGACCTGTATGTTTTCTATTGACTGTAGACGGCTAAGAGGTTTCCCATTGTCTGTAGTAGTCCTGGAGATATTTCACTGCATATAGATGACCTAAAACTCTTCTATGAATTACGGACCTGCAGACTTCTATAGTCTGGGTAGACGACCTGGAGGTTTTCTACTGGCTATGAAAGACCTGGGGATCTTCTACTGGCTATAGAACACCTGGAGTACGTACAGATCTTCTAAGGGCTATAGTCTTCTGAGGCCTATAGTCTTCTACTAGCTATAGTCTTCTCCTGGATAAAGTCTTCTAATGGCTATAGAAGACTAGAAGAAGAAGACTTATACTAGCTATATAAGACTATCTTTGGGACAACTGGAGGTCACCCTGGATGTCTTCTATTGGCATGTGAGACTTAAAGGACTTCTTCTGGCCACAGAAGTCTTGGAGGTCTTCTACTGGCCACAGAAGACCTGGAGGTCTTCTACTGGGCATAGAAGACCTGGAGGTCTTCTACTGACTACAGAAGACCTGGAGGTCTTCTACTGACTACAGAAGACCTGGAGGTATTCCACTGGCTATAGAAGAACCAGATGTCCTTCGCTGGCTTCAAAAGGCTTTTGAGACCTAGAGGACTTCTTTTGGCCACAGAAGGCTTGGAGGACTTCTACTGGGCACAGAAGACCTGGAGGACTTCTACTGGCCACAGAAGACCTGGAGGACTTCTACTGGCCACAGAAGACCTTAGGGTCTTCTAAAAAAAATCGACTAGGTATAGAAGACCTGAAGGTATTCTGACTTGAAGGTCTTGAGCTTGCTATAGAAGACCTGAAGGCGGTTCTGCTTGCTGTAGAAGACCTAAAGGTTTTGTAGACCTTATAAGAGAACTGAAGGTCTTCTATTGTCAATATAGGTCTTCAGCTGGTTATAAAAGACAGCAATCTGAAGTTGGTTGCAGTTTTTTCATCTCATCCTGTGGAAGACCTGAAAGTCTTCTACTGGCAATTTAAGACCCGAAGTTCTCCCACTGTCTATAAAACTCCTAGAGGTCTCCTACCTACTATAAAATACTTGGAAGTTTTCCACTGGTTATACAAGTCATATAGATCTTAGTTATAGAAGACATGGAGGTCTCAACTAGCTACAGAAGACCTGAATGTCTCTTACCAAAAAATCTACTAGCTATAGAAGACCTGAAGGTATTCTGCTTGCTAAGGAAGACTTGAAGGTCTTGAGCTGGCTATAGAAGACCTGAAGGCTGGTCTACTTTCTGCAGAAGACCTAAAGGTTTTGTACACATTAAAAGAGAACTGAAGGTCTTCTATTGTCAATAGAGGTCTTTAACTGGTTATAAAAGACCTGGATTTCTCCTACTGATAATAGAAGACCTGGAAGTCTTCTGCTGGCTATAGTAGGCCTGTAAGTCCTCTACATGGTTTTGGCAGCAGCGAGTTGCGACAACACAATTGAGGTACTTTGTTTTTATTTATTGGTGCAATAATTATTAACAGAGTTTTTGCTTTTTCTTTTGTTGTTCCATCAATGAATAAAAAAAATATGAACAAGAGCAGCAGAGGCAAAAACAAGTTGACAACTTTAAATTCATTGACCCCAATTTTGTAAACGTTTCCAAACAAAAACAACTTCAAATGAATAAGGCACTCGCCATCCAGCTAAAGGTGCTTTTTTTACTCGGCATAATGTTTGTCAGTTGAATTGGTGTCTGTTCATTTGTTCAGACGCTCGAATGTTTGTTTCACAATTTGTTGCTGGTGTTTTAAGCGATCAAGTTTGCCAATTTTAGCGGGTGTTTGTTTTATGTGTGTGTGCATGCGGTTTGCTTAAACCCATGTCGTCAGATGCAACAGGTGTTAATGTGGTAAAATTTCGTTTTTAGCCATCATGTACTATTAAAACCCCATTATTACTTGTTTGTTTCTCACTGATTTTTATACCCTCAGCCATATTGCTACAGAGGGTACATGTCATTTCATACGACCAAAACGTGCCTCGTCGAAATAATGTCTAGAGTCTCTTTGGACTAAATCGTTTCAGGGCATATGGAGTGGATCTAAAGGTGTCTCTCGGAGGGAGTATCCTATTTGATCCAAATTTTGTGCAACGTAACATTATTTTCAATTTTAGATCGCGTTCGGAGATGGACAATATTGGTCAACTCCTTCTGCTACCTACCCAAGAAAAGGACCCAAAAATAATTTGCTCATAGAGCAAAATAGGATCATGCAATTTTGTTCAAATTTTTCAAATTCTAATATTTGCCTAAGTGCTAGGTCGGGTGCGAAAATGGACGATATTGGTTCACTCCATCAAGTACTGCCCTATTTTGACTAATCATAACTCTTATGAGTTGAGAAAAAAGTCAGATTGTCTTCGAATTTCGCACATCTCAATATTTCTACTAAAACAAGATCTAATATGAAGAAAATTGAGCATCCATCACGGATAAATTTCTTCTCTGGAAAATTCTCTCCAAAATGCTTTGCACGCTTGTAAACAATATAATGAGCTGTCACTGGAATAATGTTAACAGCTGTCGGACTAGTGGATTAGAAATAAGAGCAGTCTGAACTTGGTTGCAGTTTTTTCATCTCACCCTGTATATTAGTTTCCTCTGAAACAAAATTATAACTGGTCTAAAGTCAAATGTTGATAGGTGGTATGATTTACTTGAAATAAATTATTTTGTTACGGAAGCTCTACAAAATATGCATAGTGGTGTAGGATATCATATAGCCGGTCCCGCCCGACTTTTGACTTTTCCTTACTGGTTTATTATCAGACATAAGCTGAGGTTATATATCTATCGACAAAACCGACTGAAACTTTTTAGTTTTTTTTTTCTTTTAAATTTTAGGAATACTTGCTTTGGACTTATTCCTATTAATTTTGAACCAATGTCCTTTTTTCCGTAAGGATATTACATAATTTTTAATAAAATTTTTCTCATTTTTTTCACAGTCAATGAAAGCCTCTTCTAGATTTGATTTTAAATCATAAAATTGTTCCTCACTTTCCCTCATCACGTTTTTACAATCATCATAATTTCAAAAACTGCATAATTGTGATTTTTTCTTTTCTTTCGTTACATGGAAAGTTACACGAAGACCTGAAATCTCTTGAGAATTTATATCACTTTCATTTCAAATATTTTTTTATGTTTTCGTTTTAATTGGGATGCCGTCAGCTGACATGACAAATACGTCGTGTCTCAATGTCCCAAAGTAGACAGACTAAACACCCAATCTCCAGCTACTTTCCCCCTACTTTAAAATATACATAATTCAGCATACCAGAGCTCAGTGCTATGGGGACAATCCATCACAGGCTGCATGCCGTCATTGGAGTCATTTAGTCATGGAGTTCTTTTAAATTAAACTTAATTAAAATCTATTTAATATTACAAATTTATTTTTTTGTTTATGTGTGTGCGCAGTATGATGCACTAGTTATGGTCGGAGTGACAGCACGACGTTTGTCTGGTTGAAATAAAAATGGGATCTGTAAGGAACGGGAAAGAAATAGAGGTTGGAAATGGAAAAATAGTGAATTATGAAGATGTAAAGAATTCAGATTATGAGTGAAAATCCACTAATTGGAAAAATGTAGTTTGAAAACCCTATATGCCTCCTTTTTGTCTTTATTATAATAGCTAATTCGTCGTTGTCTTCCATAGATACAAATATTCGATTACATACGCCATGCCACTTTATGAGATTTGTGACACTGTTTGCATGGCCATTGACCCCCAAGTGACCAAATGGTGTGAATTACCATCACCATCATCTTGGCAAATCTTCTGGCAAGTCATCTGGTATTTGTCGCCTGCAAGCAGAGTCTGAAATTGTTGTCATGCTGATGCACATTTATTTGTCCAATTGCCATGAGCGTGTCATTATACCCTCCACCATGAAAAGGACATTATTTATCGAAATTGTTTCAAATATGGTATTTGAAGTTCGTAGTGGATACTACAGCCTAAGACAGAAAATTGTCTGTGCAGGTCCACATCTTCGTATAACACCCATAAAAGGGTATCTCCCGATATTCGGGAGGTAAATATGATAATTTTAGTGGCATTATTCACCGGAATTGTTTTAAATTTTGGCATTTGAAGTTCATAATGAATACTGCAGCCTAAGACAGAAAATTGTCTGTGCAGATCCACGTATTAATATAGCCCCCACATAACGGTACATCTCTATATTCGGTATTTTAATGATTTTCACTGATTTT